AGGCGCTGGTCTCTCGCACGTGTCGATGTAGTCAGGCTGTTGTCCTGTGTCTTCTGGTTTCTCTTTTAGGATTAGTTGTATTTGTTGTATTTTCAAAAATATATATGTTTTTGGGAGGAGATTCCCACTGTCCTACTCACGCCGCCATGTTGGCTCCGCCTCCATTTCTCCCTTATTATTATTATTTTTTAATAAAATGCTGAAGTCCCACATAATTTTTTTAAAACAAACTTCTTCATAGCAATTTTTGTGTGCCAGTCACTGTTATCAGCTTTGAGCTATCTATTACTTAATCCTCCTAGCCACTCTGAGAGATAAATACTATTATTAAATCCATATCCACTTTCACACATGGTAATGGAATATAATCTTAATTACCTGACTGAATATTTGGGGTACTGTGTAATGGCAAGAGGGAAAGAACATGGAAACAGGGTCTCTTACTATGCAAAGATATGGCATGTTCCCAGGAGAAGGGAGTGGAGTTCCAGACAGAGACCAAAAGAAGATGGCCTGACTCACCTTTAGGCAGGAGAGGCAGGCTATGAAGTAAGGCTGGCCTCCTTGGGAAGGGGTAGACAACTTGAGTGCTTTTCCTTCTGATACCAAAATAAAAGACTTCATGTTAGCTAGAAACTTACCCATTCCCTGCTTGTGCCCCAGTAAAGAGATTTGCAGATACTCACACAGTGTGATGGACTTGTCAGAAGAGACCAAAATACCCACTGTGGTCTCCTGGAAGACGGCATCAGCCTCTGGAGGAGACACTGGGGAGATTCCCCAGTGGTGGTTAGCAGTGTTGTCAGGCAGTCCCAGTGCGAGCAACTTTTGACAGGCATTTTAGGGAAGGGTAAGGCCCACCTGGTGTCCCGTGCAGCATAGAGAATGCTTCTGTGAATGAGGAAAGAGGGAACTCGGAGACACCTGTATTTCCTGACACAGATGAACTGCCTATGTTAGAAGAGGCATATAAGGTTGATTTCATATTTAAGCTTATGTAGTCATATGTAATTTTATGATATCCTGATAGCATTAGTAAGTTAAAAAAATCACACAGCCAGTAGTGACCCCATTACCAATGAAGTGTCCTTGTACAAACAACTTTTTGGCCAAAATTACTGCTTTATCAGGAGCAACATAGTTGGGTTCTACTTGAATTACAGTGTATACATGAGCTAGAGTTGAATATTTGGAAAATCATAGATCAGATGAAAATAAGCCTACACCATAAACTTAATCAAAGCAGGCAAAACAACCAAAATGTTGTTTAGCAGCTAGTAGAATACTGATTTAGAGTCCTCAGTAAATTCTAGAATAAGCTTGACCTAGTTTATGATACCACATTTTATATTCATAATAATGTACTCTCTGTAACAGGAGTGCTTCAGGCTTCATGTTATAGAAAACTCCAGCTGACAGTGGTTTAACCATAAGAATATTGTGTATGTTAACAAAAGCCTGGATACATGTAATTAGGAGAGTAGACCGGCAGCTCCAAATTTTAGGGCATTTGGTTGATGTTTCTGGGATTCACTAGTTTTCTCTGTGGCAGCAGGCATCATGTCTTCAGGTCTCAGAATTAAAGGACAAGAAACAAGGATGTGGCCAGGGTGGTGAGAGTTCTCTCACCTGCCTGTCGGCTTTTATCAGGGGGGAAATGTCTTCCCTAGAGGCCTACCTACCAGACCTCCCCGTATGTCACATTGACCAGAACTGGATCCTGTGGCTATTTAAGCTGCAAGGGAGATGAGACGAATGAATACCTAGCATTTTTCAGCTTCTAGACAGGAAGATGGGCAAGGAAGAGGGAAGCTGGGAATGGCTGTTGTGTAGTTCATTAATGAGTGTTGGACATATTTTCCATGTTTAGAATCCTCTACTTCCTCTGTATTTCTTACAACATAAAGTCAAGGCTCCTTATCATGACACAAATCTTTCCTAGACAGACCTGTGCCCACCTCTCTATCCTCATCCCTCACCCTGTCCCACAGGCAACCTGGGTTGTGACCGTCATGAACTCACTGCAGTTCCTATGCTTCAGCATCCTGTCCTGTGCTTCTGTGACTGAGGCTTTCTGTTCACCCAATAAAGATACAGCCTTCTTTATGACCCCGGGAAAAAGAGGACCATTTTTCTCCCCTATATTCCCACAGCAACCTGTACTCTGCTATGGCACTTTATCACACTGTTCTGTGTCTTTTTGTTTATTGGCCAGTCTTCTTCAGCAAACCCTGAAGAACAGGGGTTTTCTCATGTCATCTTTGTGCAGCACCCTGCACAGCACCACATAACGGCAGTTCCGTAAAAACTTGTTGAATGAATGATGGATGGATGAAAGAATGAGTTGTTGGATATTACTCGCTCCCCGATGTCTGAGGTGCTAATGTCCTGGATGTAGGCATGATTTCCTTTCGTCTTCCTTTTTCCTTGGCAGTTTTGCTCTCCCACACAGTTTCCCTGGACTTGCCTTACCTGTGTAGCCCAGAATTGGGGGCTGCCGCTTCTCAGGGCGGCTGCCTTGTCCATTGTCGCTCCTTTGGAGGGTTCTTCCTGGGCCTCGGGTCAGTCCGACGCCTCCCTGCGCTGTCTGCCTCCGTGCCACAGCTTCACAGTCTCAGCACCACTCGGAAGCATAAACCAAGCTCTTGCCTCATCACATTGTTACAGATTTTACTGATCACATTTTTCTCACTCTATTCTTTAATAGGAGAAAACGTTTATCTTCATGAGAATATACTTTTTAAAAAAGAGTAGACTGGTTTCCTGTTTGAAGATCTACCCCATATCCGGAAAAGAAGCCAAGAGAACACACCATATCTAGGTTCTCCTTGGATACATTCATGCCTCACTTAGCTATGCCTGGGATTAGGGGGTCAGCAGGAAGCATTTTGTTTCTTTTGCCTGTTATTTATTTATGGTTTTGAATGTGCTCTGTCTCCAGGAGGGAAGTAATGCTACTTTTCCCAGATTTTCTCACTGACATTTAGATGGGCTTTAAATACTGATTTCCCCAGACTTCTGACCTAATATATTTCATACAGTCTGAATCTGAGTTTGAATTTCTAGGTGCAAATAGGGAGTATGGGTAGGAGTTTGAGGGGATTTTTACTCAGGGCCCAGAATTAAGAACAAGCTGAGGGATTTTTCAATGGATGAGACAGAAACAGTGCAGAGGTGACAGGGCTCTAAGCCTTTCTGCTAGAACATGAGTTTTCATAATCTGAGTTGACTTTAATATGACTGATTAATTAGGGAACATTATTTGTATTTTATAGATTGCATTGGCGCTAATTGGATTGAGATTGGGAATTAACATCAATCAGAACAAATCTGCTGTTCTGGTTACAACCATCTTTGTTTAACTGGGTAGGTGATAAGACAAAGGGGGATGCAGGCAATTACAACATGTCTTTAGATAAGCACTCTGTTGATGGTAGCTCTGGTGGTGCCTGGAAAAGAAAAGCAATTCGTCTGCAGTGAAGTGGAAGTGGTCCTCCAAAGATATAACCGAATTTTTAGTTGCCAAAATAATTGATATGTGTGGGAGTCTTACTGGCTACAAGCGAGTAGAGACCAGGGATGCCAAATGCCCTGCAATGCATAGGACAGAACCACACAGGGAAGAATTGGCTGGCTTGCAAATTAAAATGCCAAAAGTTACATTTCCCCTATCTACCCCTGCTGCAAGGATAGGCATGGCAGCTGGAGAAGAATAAATGTGTTGCATATATAGCTGTGGGGTAAATCACAGAGTTTCCAGAATTTCCTGCCTGGCCTTATCCATTTACATATCAATAGGTGTTTACCACTGCAGAGCCTCCTGTGTGGCAAGGGGTGGAGAAAAAATGCATTTTTCCTCCCCTCTGTTCCTGGTATGTAATTGGTCTGGCATCTGCCAGTCACCAAGGACCTGCCCAGGAGTTCCTCCTGGAAGGGGCAGCTGGGAAATAGAGAGCTCACTGCGGCTGCTCAGTGAGCCATGGCTGGCGGAGATGGGCAGTGCCCAGCCTGGCCAGCAAATTCGAGCAAGCTGTGAGCAATAAAAACAGCTTCTCTCAACCTACCCTTTCCCTTGACTTATTCTGGTTTCACTGGTTTCATTGGTGGATTCACCTGGGGCCAGGAACACCCTTCTCCCCAGAGCTCTAATAGTTAAACAAAAAATGTAAGATGAACCTTTACTGATGACATTTCGAAGTCTGAAAATCTATGGCCCTCTGGCCCTCTAGTTCTGACACAAAAATTTGTTTGCTTCAAATCTGCTTGTTCACTCACGAACCCAAGGTTTCTTAGGGAGCAGCCAACAACCTATTTCAGCAGGACAGGCCATGTTCCCAGTACTTGACCAGTTGCACATTCCCTTAGCCAGAAGTGGGCTTCACTGGGCTTGCCAGCTCTCACCTCCACTTAGGGCAAGTTTTTAATTCAAAAGAAAACCATGCTTGTGCAGGAAGAAAACGTTGGCCAACTTATACTTCTTTCAGATGTTATAAATAAATCTGGAAGTGTCTATAATTTGCCCTCACTTTAGAATATAATTGAACTCAGTACAATTATTGTCTCTTGGGACATTTTACTTTTTAAAATCTATCTTCTTTTGCTGATAAAAAGTCAGCTCATGTGGATTGTCAATTCTGAAAGTTCATTTGTCTTTTCTCTATTGCTTCCAAGATTTTCTCATGATTTTTACATGTGATTACATTATCCTGCAGTTGTACTTTGTGTTTAAGAATGAATTTGTTTTTATTTATCTTATTCACAATAATGTGTGCTTCCTTAGTATGAGTCTCATGTCTTTTTTCACTTCTGGAAATTTTTTAGCCATTTGCTCTTCATAGCCAGAGATTTTCATTTTATCTTCCACTTCTCTTAACTCTTCTTTCATGTCTTACATCTTTTTATTTCTCAGTGCTGTGTTCTGGATTACTTCCAGAGATTTATCTTTCATGTCACTAATTTTCTCCTCTGCTGTATGTTACTTAACAAGTCGATTGAATTTTTTTAAATGACTATTGTTTCTTTTCTATGATTTTTTTAATGGTCCAACTTCTTTCACCTTTAATGGTCTGCTCACTTAAAAACATGTATGTTCTATCTCTTTAAACATTTAAAACATGTTTGTATTAAGTTCCCCTAGGATTTGTTTATCATCACAGTGTGAAATCTCTATGCTGTTGGCTCTGTGAGTTTTCTTGTTTGTCAGTGAACTTTGCTCATATAATTATTGCTTATGAGTTCATCTTCGGTAAGAGTTAACCTAACTAGCAGTTTCACAGGGCCCAGGGGGCATCCCTGAGGGCTGGTTTCACCTTGCCTCTACTGAGGTTCTGAGCTAACTAACATGGGTGGTGTGAATTTAGATCCTTTGATCTGAGCATAGATTTGACTCTTCCACGTGACTATTTCCTCCATATTTCCAGGCAGATGGCTATCTCAGGGCTTTATTGCCCTCATGGCAGAACAATTCTTTCTTCCCTTCTCACTTTAGTCAGGGAGTGGAGTTCTTGCTGTTTGTTGGATCTGTACCTTAAGTCTTATCTCCACAAAGTATTAAAGTCCCTATTATGGTATCTGCTGCCTCATGGACAGTGCAGCTTTAATTCCTTTTTACTCTGAGCCTTTAAATCCTTTCTTCATTTATGTAACCTGGACATTTTTTTTCTAGTGTCGAAGTTGGCTACATACTATTAAAATAAATTTAAATGTTTTATTGAGATTCATTTTGTTGTCCTTGTTGGAAGGATAGAGGAATTTTCTGGATCTGCTTAGCCTACCATATTAACGGGAAGTCATTCTAGGTCTATCTTTAGCCAAGTTTTTTTTTTTTTTTTTACTCTGCTAGGGATTAGGTGTTCAAGAAACCGTTGTTGAATTGTTGTACAATGGAATATGCAGCATATTCTGGCCAATATGCTCTATACAGCATATTCTGTATAGAGGAGCTTTAAATCAGCATTATGAAAAACACAAAGAGCAGGTGGTGGTAGTGTGTCAATTTGCTGACTCATTTTATAATGGAATTTTTTCCCCCTTTTTACCATTTGCTTGCCTGTTAGGCTTATCTGAGAAATTTATTCTTTATAGCTCTGTAATTAAGTGAAGGAGTCTTGGCCTTTGATCTTGGCAGATTCTGGGTTTAAATTCCACTGGTGCTATGCTCAAATGTTCAAGTCACATGGTAGGCACTCAATATTCACTTGTTGAAGGAAAAATTAATGAATATATGATCTTACCATCAGTTCCTCTGAAGTAAAATATGGATGATGACAGTGACCACCTCATAGGCCTTTGATAATTGTGAGCTCAGCCATGGAAAACATCTAGCATAGTGACTAGCAAGAGTAAAAGCTTGATAAACGTTAACCAGGTCCTGGGCATAGAAGAATTTAAGTGATTATATATCCCTTTACTTTTTCTTATATTTCCTTTATCACTTCCATCGTCTAAAACTTCTTTTAAAAATGTCTTCTCTGTATATAGGGTCATACACATAGATGGTAGTAAGATCCCAATTTGAACTAACAGTTCTGTGGTTTCTTCCTCTAGGCCAAAATTCTGAAAAAACAAAGCAACTGATATTTTTCATATTTGTAACAACAGAATGGTTGATCTCCAGGTAAGTGTTTATTATATTATTAGAAAAACTGGATCAAGAAAGTAGAAGCTAAATAGAGGTCTAGCATCTTGCACTAGTGAAAATACCATAACATGTTATTCTAAAAGAAAAAAAATGCTTTCCTGATTTAATAGGTGTTAAAAACAAGGGAGAAATAAAAAGACAAATTTCCTTAAGTTCATTCTTATTTTCACTTATCACTTTTTTAAAGGGAGTTAAAATATCTTAAAGAAAATTAGATTATCATATAGTTTTGTGCTATTATATTCCCTTTAACATTCAACTATAATTTATGTAATTTAACTATAAATTTAGAATTCTATTGTATCTCCCTGCTTGATAAATACAGAAAGTTATAGTGTCATCTTGTGGAAAAGTGCAGAACTGCATTGTATTAACATTTGAATAAATTGAAATAGGTGGAGAAGGGAATATAGAGCTAAAGAGTTGTACGTAATGAAAATTAATCAGCATATTTCTGTAAACTTAGCTAGATTTAATATTAAATGAATAGAATCAGGTAGATTTTCCACCCTCCTAGATTTTCCTGTAGCAGGGACAATAGAAAGAAAAGGTTAACTTTCTGAATTGAAACTACGACAAGAATTACCAAATTTCAGAACGTTTTGATTCCAAAGGGAGAAAGAACAGGAATAAATTATGCCTGATGCTCTGAATTTCAAAACTATGTACATGATTGAGCCAAAGATGTTGCTGAACACAGTTCAGAGGAGAAGGCCTTGTTGCCAACACTGGATAAACACCTGCACCATGTACATATCAGAAGCTACGCAAAGCAGGGACACCCTCGAGTTGTCATAGGAAAAGAATCTGGGAGAGCTGACTGACGTTACTATAACTTATAGAAAAGAGTTATCCTGTATGAATGAAAGTGACTCCAGAATATTTACTTCAATTTGTTACAGGAAGAGCCAGGGAACGTTTGTTTTTAGCCTCAATATGAAGCTCATATAGGTAAATTCAAGGATCTTTGAATGATCTGATGTAATAGACAAATGCTGCTACTCACCCACTGACTCCGGAACTCAGGAACTCTGTCCTTGCCACTTACGTTAGTTCACCCCACACACGTGCATGATGAAACAGCTGCACATGACCATCAGGGTAGGACAGAGATCTGGTGAAGGTATCAACATAGGAAATGGATTATATCTGAGGCTTAATAAAGTGCCAGATGAAATAACAAAGAAAGACTGTTAACAGAGAGAAAGAAAATGAAGATAAGGAGACAGAATCTGGGAAGCAGTGATGGCTAGGGGTGCAAGGTCATCAGGTCAGGTGAAGGTATTGTAATAGCACTTGAGATGGGCTCTCATTTTTGTCATCTCATTTTGATGGCCAAAAGATCACACTTCTGGGAGGTATGCTGAAGAAAATGCCAAGGACAAAGGAAAGACTGGAGAAGAAGAATAATGAAAAGAAAGGATCATTCCCTCATGATCCTGCTCCCGTTACCAATATTTTGAGTTCCTTCGCTGATCTAAGCAGAGGTCCATGGGAGTTGTCAGTTAAACAGTTTCTCTGTGTCTACTCCCTCCTGCATGTTTAACGAAGTGGTCCTGCACATGCACTGAGCCATGAAACTGAAGGAATTTTGTTCTTAAAACCTTGCTTTGAATGTTCTTTCCTTCATGGATTTAAGTTAGATCCTTTAATGCTATAATAATTTGGTTTCATATTGAATGTCCTTTGGGCTTTCATTGTCATTTTTTTTTAAGTAGTTTTTCATGAGTTCAAAATAATCCTTTTGGCAAAAAAGCAATTCAATTATAGTGACAGCATAAAAAGCCCAACATGATACAATCCTCTGGTGAGATCAGATTTCATGCTAAACCCAGACGATTTTATAAAACTGAAATTTGTATTTGCATTCTGAAACTCTCACCTGAAAGGCTTGATCAGAACTTAAAGCTTCACATAAAAGTCAATCTCTGATCTGTATAAGGCACAGCTGAATTAAGAGTTTAAGTGACTTGTTGAGGGCCATATATTATAGCCTTTTAACCAGGTTTGAAAATATAGTTGTTGGGCACCAGATCTCCCTCTACATCCTTCCACTCACAGGCAACAAAGAAAATGTCCAGTTCCTTCCAGAGGAGATTTCTCATGCCACAGGAAAGCTTAACATACATTCCCAGCATCACCAGACCACTAAGTAGATTGTATGGTAACTAGTTTTATTTTAAACAGCACCATTCTCTGAAGACCTAATACTGATGTCCTATTCAAATTATGGATGCACCAGTTAATGGCAATGTGACTTTAACCTCTCTGTCTCAATTATATTCAATCCAGAAAATATGCCAATATTAGTTATCTCTCAGGCTTTTATGAGATATTACAGTCCTTGGCATATTTAAGCCCTCTATAGTGTTAGCTATTCTTATTATAGTATACAAATAAATCAACGTATAAATGCAAATTTATAGCATGTATATGTTTATACACTATTAATGCTCATAAGGATGAGATCATAGAATTTGGCATTGTATGCCTGGAAAATGGAATTTCCTAAGTGGCGACTGAGGACCAAAGATGAGAAATTAGAGGCCAGAGAGAGAGAATTCTGTAAAGATTTAAGTGGAGCAAAGGAAGAAGATTAGGGAAATAGCTGTGTAGAGAGATCCTTTGGTAGACACAGGAGTAAAATTGTTTGTTGTGAGTGGGTGTTGAGCAAATATTTAGAGTAGGATTTGATGGCAGAGGTTTTAGAGTAGGACCAGAAATACTGCAATGAATCAGGAGCAGTGTAGGGGTGGGGGAGTTACTGAAGAAGCAGCACAGACCAGAGAAATTTGGGAAACTTCTTTCCATTCTCAGTTTCTCACATATTTATCATAGCATCTATAAATCTTTATAGCTTGAACTTAATTGTTTATATTTCCATTTTCCTTTATTACTATTCAAAATGAGTGCCACCTGGGAACAGCATGGGTCTCATGCTGGGAGCTGTTCAGAAATACAAGCTCTCAAGCCCCACCCCAGACCAACTTCATGCACATCCACGTTTTTAAAGAGATGCCCTTGTGTTTCCTGTGCCTGTTTAAGAAGGGCCACTTCCATAGGCCTTCCGCTTCTAGCATGGTGCCTGGCACTTAGTCAATGCTGAATGTAAGTTAATTGAATGAATCAAGTTGAATTCCTGGAGGCCCCCAAATTGAGCTTCAGATGGAGATGAGAAAAGTAATTCTAATCCCAAACCAAAGCCTTGACCTAGAGCGAAACTTCAGTGGCTGTAGAAACATAGAAAAATTACCTGCATGAGGGTTAGAAGTTAGGTTCTAGGTTCTGTAAGAGGAAAGAACAGAGTGATTAAGGATTGGAGCTAGGATGCACCTGGGTCCTGGTAAGGAAGCCCAGGAAATAGCCCACAGAGACTCTGTGAATATAGTTCATGTCATGAGACCCCTTCCACAGCAGTACCGTATGTCATGTTCTTAAAACAAATGATGCCTTGTGTCCTATACTGAGGGAGACTCTGAGTGGCAGTGGCACAGGCCTGGGATGGGGGCAAATAGTCCCACCCTACCTCTGGGGGAGGGGGGTTATCAGGTAGTTTTGTTTAGAGGATTGACTCAAGGATCTTAAATTGCAAAAGGTTTAAGTAGAAGAGGCTCCTCCCTACTCACTCCTTCTGGACCACATTTTTAGGTGAACATAGAAAAGTGCCACTAAGATAATAGTTTAATATTAACAATCTTAATATCGGCATTTGGAGTTGACCCTAACTCATTGGCTATGCTAAGAACGATTTTGAAGTGTTCACTCAATACAAATTTAAAAGATTCATTTTCAAGACTTCCTTTTTAAAAATTAGTATCCCTGTGTTTTAATTTAACTTTGAAAAAACAGAATCACCTTTCAGTTGTTCCCCTTACATACAATCAGCCCCTAATTCTTGTCTGACATGTCTTCACAATCTGTCGTGCATAAGTTTCTCCCCTTACATTTCTGAAGCCACTCCTCTGATTCAGATGTCTGGAGCAGTCTTCTCACTGGAATTTGGCATCAAGGTTGGAACTCTGGAATCTGGGAGAATTGGACTTGTCCTTCTGCTTCAGCCCTTGTTACATATGTGACCTTAAATTGACCTCTCTGCTTCAGTTTCCTCTTCTGTAAAATGGCAATAATGGTGGCCTTTTCCGCATTGAATTGTTATACAGAAGTGAGTCCTTGTGTGTAAGTTAAAGGTGTCTTAGTGCTTAGGAGCAGAGACTCCAGAGTGAGACTGCTTGGGTAAATGTTCTGCTACCAACTACCTCTGTGTCAGGCAAATTGTGTCACCTGTCTTTGACTCAGTTTCTTCAGTTGAAAAATGGTAATAATGATCATCTTTACCTCATGGAGGTTTTATAGGAATTAAATGAGCACAGTGCTCCATAGTGTCTGGTACATTCTAAGTGCTGTACACGTGCTTCTTAATTTAAAAATTCCACACAAGAGGTGCCCGACAATGTTTTTCTACTGATTGCCTTGATTTTCATCACTGCATCAATCCATCCCCATTGATCCCTTATGAATCTTCCTAAAAACATCCCTCTCAGCCTTAGTTAGAATAGTGTGGCCACAAATAATAGGAAACCTGACCAATAGTTGCTTAAACTATAATATATTGTGGGCAAAATTGCAATTTCCAGAATCTCTCACCTGGATTTAGTACATCTCCATATCAATAGGTATTTCCAAGGGGTGGAGAGAAGTAGTCCATCTCCATATCAATAGGTAATTACATGGGCTGGCAACGGGTCTGGAGAGGTTGCATGGAGCTTTCCCTTCTTCTGCAGCCTGGTCAAGAGAGAGATGGAACAACTGCTTATAAGAATTAAACTGGTTTCTTAAACTTTATTTCTCCCTTTGACTGATTTTGGTTTCAAAGAAATTTTGCCCTGGGATGTTCCCCCTGGAGTTACATATATCTACAGCTTACTTAACTGGTCATCTGAGAGTAGATGGGCCCAGCCCTGATTCAACAGTTCAGTCATGTCATCAAAGACCTGGGCTTCGTGAATCCTCCCACTTAGTCATTCTCAGCATCTGGGAGAGATCTTTCCTCATGGACCCATGATGGCTGCTGAAGTTCTATGCCCTACATCCCTACACAACAGAATTCACAGCATGACTTCAGCAAGGTGAACCAGATGCAGAAGTCGATAGCAACATGATTTTCTCCTTGTATATCTTTCCTTTTGTTTTTTTTTTTTTCCAGAAGCACTCCGTATATTTCCCTTAACAGCTCATTGCTCAAACTTGTGTTACATTGTCAGAGCTGGTGGCCAATATCCACTAAAGCTAGGCAAACTAAAGGAAGGAACGGTTGTGGAGAGGCAGTGAATAATTCCAGCCTGCCAAACAAGCTCTAGCCTTCTTAGGTACTGAGACCCCTCTGTGATGTGGCCCTTTCATGGGCTCCTCATGGGCCTCTTCTGCAAGAGTCTATATTGGTGCCAAGCTATCCTATCAGCCATTACCCAAACTGCCTGTATTTTCCTGTCCTCCTTTCCCTATATTTTATTGACTGTAATATGTGTATCATTTCTCCCTCTTCTAGCTACCATGACACACACGTTCCTGCTAATCTCTGCATGTTAAAATGCAACCTTTCCTTAAAAGTCTGGATTACATGTCTTCTCCTATCATCCCTGATCATCCAAGACAGAAAAAGCTTTCCTTCCTTGATTTTCCTCACATTGTTTTATATTATTTAAACGTTCTGTGATATTTTAGTTGGGGAAAGGAGGTATATATTTTTCACTTTCATGTTCCATTTTGTCAACTACACTGGATAATAATTATAAAACCATTGAGTGTTTAATATTAGCAAGGCATTAAGACATTGAACATGTCTTTACCTGTGTCACCTCATGACACTAACTTTTTAAAAGTGAGTATTTCCTTTATAAAGAGGAGCAAACTAAAGTTAAGAAAGATTTAGGGGCTTGCATTAAGATCATCAGATTTTAAGTGACTGTATTTAAGTATTTAAGTGGCCTATATTTTCAGATGGTATGCTATATGGCTTCTTAATGTAGTACTTTTCAAAGTAGTAAGTCCTCATTTTTTATTTAAGTGAATGAAAGACTATTTGTATAAGCTGGCTAGTAAAGATAACCAGTCTGTGTAATATGTGCCCTTCACTCACTTCTCTCCCCCTTGAGTTAAACCAAAGAAACAAAATTGTGTGTTTTATGTAGGTTAAAAAATCTGTATATCTGCCTAGAACCTTTCTTATTTTACCTTAGCCATATAGTCTTTTATTCAACACAAGAAAATACATGCATTATTTGGGAACAGATTGCTTGTTATATGTCAAGCAGTATGCTAAGGCACAGTACTTGTGGCTCCATCTAATCCCCTCAACAGAAAGTGACTTAAACATATAGCAGTTCTTATTATCTCCCTTAACAATTGATGGGTAGTGCTAGGTGGGTATAGCAGCTTAATGATGTCAGATCTCAAGATTGATATCTCTGCAATTCTCTTGACTTTTACCTCAGGGGTGCAATATGGCTGCTGCAACTCCAGACTTTACATCCTCACACAACTCACAGATTTTCCAGACTTCTCATATCTCAATGGCTACAATCAGATTACATGCCAGCCCCTAGACCACTAGTCATATTTTTTCCCTGAGATCAAGAATTTACCTGAACTAAACTGGGATTCTGCTAGTAAAAATGAAGGGAAGGGGAATGGTTTTGAGTCACCAACAAACATTGTCTCCCCAGATAGGTAGTATAGGAGTAATACAGGTTCTTGTCCTGATAAAGCTGACTCCTCACAAGGGAGACAGATACTAAATTTAAAAATTAAAAAAAATTATACATTGTAATGAGTGATAAGAAGGAATTAAACAAGGATTTGTGGAGTAGATTGATGTCTGCTTAAAGATTGAGTCTTTCTGGAAGGACCCCACTATGGAGGTGACATTTAAACTCATTCAAAGAAGGAGAATGGAGGAGAGAGGAGTGCAGAGCAGACAGGAGTGTGTGTGCATTCTTCATGTTTTTTATTTTCTGCATTTTATGATGTTTTACCACTTGGGGGGCCTTTTAGGCAAAGGGAAAGATTATCCTTCCCAGGGCTAGCCAAGTCTCTGCATAGCAAAGGGCTGGTCTATGAGCACTCCTAGGAGCAAACTGACCACCTTGAATCTATACCCACTTCATGGGGTTCTCACACACCAAGCCAGTATTACCCCTGTTCTAGGTCATCCCAAGGCCATACACCAGGCAACTAGAGATCACTGCTGTGGCCTGAAGTCCGATGGAATGATTCAAACTAGCTAATCCTCAACTGCTTCCTCTAACTTGTCCTGCCTTTCCTGTGGAAACCCCAATAATGGCTTTGGCCAAGGCTCTCCCCTCCCATGACCCAAGCCTAGCACTTCCCCCTTGGCCCTGTGTTGTATGTGTGCCCCTTTGTCTTGGGAAATGTAAGTAATAAAAAATCTCCTTTCTGTGGCATCAGCTTCTCTGTGTTGTTACTCAATCACCTTCTTAAATTAAAACCCAGGCATAGAATAGAGTGGAAGCAAGTGTGAAGACCCTTGGTGAGCACTAGAGAAAATAAAAGAAAGCATGTGTGGCTGCTTATTCACTATTTTAAGATTGGAGGGGGATGAAAACTTCTAGCTCTCCACCAAAACCATTCTCTTCTTTTTGCAGCACCAGAACACAGCCAGGGTAAATGACCACCCCACCCCATCAGACTCCCACTTGGGTGTAGCCAATAGAGTGTTAGGGGAGTGATGTATGAAACTTTCAGGCCAGTGCCTCAGACAATGGATGTACCTTCCTTGTCCTCTCTTTTCCCCCCTTCCCACTGACTGCACCCTCTTTTTGGCAGTGATTCAGCTTTGGATATTCATATGAGGACACTTGTTCTCAAAGTGTTGTCTCAGATCAATAGCATCAGCATAAACTTGTTAGAAATGCAGACTGTCTAGCACCAACCCAGACCTACTGAGTCAGAAACTGCAGATGAGGACAAGCAGCTTGGGTTCTAACAAGTCTCCACGTGATTCTGATCAATGCTCAAGTTTGACAGCCACTGTTGTAGGTAAAAGAGGAGATGCAAAATGCAAGAAACATGAATCCCTGAGTGTCTAAATGGAATAAAGCTGGATTTTTTACTCTGGAGCACAGGAGAAGGTTTTGAGTGGATGATTATCAACTTCGGGTGATTTTCAAAGCCATGGGAATAGGTATAAGATAACCTAGGGAGAGATTTAGAGGGAAATAAAAAGAGAACAGAGGATTGAGGCATCAGTGACTCCAACACTTACAAGGAGGGAAGAAGAGGAGGAGCCTAAAGAGGAGTCTGAGAAGTGGGGACTAGAGAACCAGATGGCGAACTACAAGGGTGATGTCATGGAGGTCAGGAAGGCAGAGTGTTGGAGGGAGTGGTCGCATCCTCTGCTCAATGCAGAATTTGTGCCTCTTAGACGGGAGCAGTGCTTTGTTAAACTAGCCCCTGACTCAAGGATGAGTCTGACTGAGTTAAAACAATACCACTCTCTTGCCGATGTTTGGTTGAAGAATGAATGTGAGGCCCAATTCTGGGCAATAAGATACAAAGACAAGTGTATTAGAGACTTCAGTGAAAATTCTTCCTTTCTTATAATAGAAAGCAACAGAAAGCTAGTGTCTGTCTCCCCCATTGGATGTAAATGATATGGCCCTGATTGTTACTGGTAGGTATCACTGGCTTAAGAATCATGCTTTATTTTAATCCTTTTTCTGACTTTTGCAAAGAGGAAGTTTCCCTTTTTCATTGTGACAATCTATTTGCCCCCTCTTTAAATGAGGGACCATGAGGGCATCATTTTAAGGCCATAGTTTATTTATTTGTAAAATGTGGATAATGCTAATACCTACCTCATAGAAGATGAAGCTGGCATTTTGGACACCTGTGCAAAGAGATGAAAAGAATCAAAGTCCTTAATGACATGGTTGAGCTTCTGAATCAACTAAAGCAAACGTTCTGCTTGTGAATTCATACTTTTCCTTGTCGTTTAGTGTGTTTCATTTAGGATTTCTGTTACTTGTGACTGGAAGCAGCATATCTGAAACAGTGATAGATGAATCCTATTTCTATTTTTGTTAGAAAGCCATTAGTTTACTACAAATTCTCAAGAAAGATTATTTGTATGAGGTATTATTCAAGTGTTGTAAAGCACTTTTCTAATAAGATGGAATCAGCAACCTAATATTATAAGACAACAAAAAAAAAGTTTAGGAATAATGGATTAAGCATTTTACCTATCGGAGAATGAATATGCATTTCCTATTAATGTATTCTTCCAAAATTCAAGTCATATTTTAATATTACAACCTCACTGACACTAATTTTTTGAATTCTCATTTGGCAGAAAAGGTATTGAAAGTCTATGTCTTACCTTTCCTTCAACCTTAAGCAATTGTACAAATTGAAAATTAGGTCTATGTAAAGACCATCCTGAATATTAAATATGCAAAATACTATAAACATCAAAATATATCCACACAAAGTCAATGTTTGACTGGTTGAAATATTTTTATCTTAATTTCATTTAGAAAATTGATCTATTAAAATACAACAAAGCTTAATACTTCAAATTAATTTATTTACCATTGGAACACTCAGGTTGTAGAAAAAATGGTAATCTAGAAATCAGGAGCTTTTTATATTAGTTCCACCCCTCGCACTAGTTACATAGTCTCAGGTACATAATTAACCTCTTGCTACTTATCTAAGAATGTAAGGAGAGATCGATCTTGGTAACCTGTAAGGTTCTTCCAGTTCTA